TTATTTTTTGGGTGTTTTTAGGCTTTTTTCTCGGAGAAAAAATTCCAGTGCGAAAGAGAAACCCCGATAAAAAAGCTTAAAAGCACGCCCAAAATAACCCCAAACCCAAACCTCTGCTTGGAGAGTAACTTTTTGCAACAATTCGTATGTCCACACGACTTGTATCATTCCATAGTTCTCGCTAGGCTATTTGAGCACATAATAATTAGGGGCACTCTGTGCTGTGATTTAGACCCCCTATGCTGTAATTTGGACCCCCATGCTGTCTTTCAATCTGCATAGGGGTGTTAATTTTGGGGGGAGAACCTTCATAAATCTTGCAAAAAAAAATGAAAATCCAACTTTTATATAGAATGAAGCTATAACAAAGGGAAAACCTTAACTTCACAAAATCTGTAAGTGAGAAATAGTGTCTCAGGGGGTTATGAGTTTAATTTTTCTTCGGCTCAACGCGCGACTTGCGTTGAAAAAGCTGTCTTTCTGTACCTGACCCCTACGCTGTGAAAAAATCCTGGTGAGAACCCTGCATTTAATATCTAGCTTTCCTTCATCAAATAGTTTTTAAATGTTTAACACATGTCCATGGAGGTAATTTATTACTAAAGGTATGCCGTAGTGCCTACTGTTCAGCATATGCAATTCATTCTCTTTCTAGCAACCGATACAGAATGAATTACTGACGTGCAGGAGAGAAATAAATATTCCTGTCATCACAGATATTACAGACAGATGTCCTAATGAGAGACAGGATACTAGTAGTAAGAAGAACGTAGAATTTATTTATTGTGACCCCCGGTTTTCTAGATCTTTATTTTCTCTCCCAGCCCCCTTAGGTTGCTTGAAAGATGCCTGAACTTGGCCGGTCAAATAAGGTGATATAAAGAGGGTATATGTAACTTGTAACTAATATTGTGTCGTGTAGCGTCGTTCAGTGTAGTGTAGTGTTGTGCAGTGCAGTGCAGTGCAGTGTAGTGTAGTGTCGCTCAGTGTAGTGTAGTGTAGTGTAGTGCCATGCTGTGTATTGTAGTGTAGTGTCGACATGTCAGAGGTGTAGTGTCGTGTAGTGTAGTGTCGTGCAGTGTAGTGTAGTGTCGTGCAGTGTAGTGTCGTGCAGTGTAGTGTAGTGTCGCTCAGCGTAGTGTGGTGTCGTGCAGTGTAGTGTCGTGTCGTGCAGTGTAGTGTCGTGTCGTGCAGTGTAGTGTCGTGCAGTGTAGTGTCGTACAGTGTAGTGTAGTGTAGTGCAAATAGTAGGTCAGAAACTCGCCAGACTTTATGATAGCTGGACGTCAGCCAACTATGCCAGTGCATACCAACAGCCTAACCGACAATTACAAATATAAAACTGAAACCAATTTCGTCATCTAGAAGGTCAGAAAGAGACAAAAAATTATTATCTCGTAACACAGAGCAGCGTAGCGCCTTGCCCTGCCCGGATACCGGCTCAGGGCGACCTTTGTTGCGGTACGAACCATCTGTGCCGCCCGCCTGTAATCTAGCCCCGGCCGAACAATGCCTTCGCGTGCGACAGAGAGGAAACACGGGGGGATCCAGCCACAGGGCAGACTTTTCCAACTCATTCAGGGTAATAGCTCGTGGGAAGAGGAATTTGTCCAGACATGCCGGGCGATCTAAGGATAAAACTTTACCCAGTAAGTTTTTTTTACAGCGTGTAAACAAGGTTGTGATGTAACGGCTGTTGCCATGGTAACGGACGTAGGTTTCCCTGTTTGAATCAGCACTTCAGCAGAACGTACTGCGCCTGTGCGAAACCTGTAATGTATTGTGATCTGTTGTACATAGTACTTGGCAGATCATCTTGTTTAAGGTTGTATTCTCGTATTAAGACATTTAAGGATGACATTCCGTCTACTAGAGGAAATATGACAGCATCATATATTGGTTAACATCAATTTGAATAGGATAATTATGTCATCATTTTAATATTTTTATATCAATTCTTTTCATATCAAAGAATAATCGACTCTCTTACTCTTCCAGTCAGAAAGAAATCCTGCTTCTATATTGTTGAGGCGTTGAAATCGCCATGGAGCAAAATCGCCCCGTAAACGGTGAAAAAAAATCACTGCAGTAGTAGCTCAACCAATACACTAGTTATAGAGCCATGGATCAAAAGCGTCGCTTAGCGGCAAAACAAGTCACTGCAGTTCCTCATGCCTGGAAGAGTTGTGTGTGGGGTAGACGGCTGTATCAGGGTTTGAGGTTTAAAAGGGTGCCGAATAAAAGCAGACTTTTATTGCGGCAAGACGAACAACACTCCGCTGATACAGCCCCGTACCCGTATACAGCTCTCTCGCCCCCGAAAAAGAAACGACCGCTACGCGCTAGAAAATATAGGTAGGGTTGATGGCTATTATTTACGCAGCATTTAGTAAATTATTTAGTAAATAGCCAACATACTGGTTAATATCGCCATGGACCGAAAGCTCTCCGTGGCGACCAAAAACAATCAGTTCGGCCAACATACTAGTATTGGGTGCAGTACTAAATTGAACTACTAGAGGCCGCTTTTGATCCATGCACGCAACTGGTTGGCACTGCAGTTTCATATCATTTATTTGCACAAGTAAAAACATTGATCAACAAATATACAAATCAGTGTGTAGGTGGAGGAAAGAAGCCTGCAAGGCTTTTACAATGCCCTCCCCCTTGAAACTTAAATCACAAAACTAACAAACTAAATAAAACCTAAATATAACAGAACAAAACTGATTCAGATTGGTGTATACGTAAACTCAAGGCTTAAGTGACAAAAATGTAAAAGGACATCAAAGTATACTAGTAATGTAATGTTTGGATTTATCATATATCACTAGATGTCACACAAGTTACTACAAGCACCACGTGGTGTACCTTGTAAAGGAACCGCAGCGGGGCGCTCTTAGACCATGCATGCAACCTGTTGCTACTTCAGTTTGCATCTCTATGTTTCGAGGTAAAAATTGGTATTTTGTAGCCAGCAGCTACGATCTACACATACTAACGCTAGTTTCCATGAAGATAACATCACGGAGGTGATAGAATTTGAAGGAGGACAAACAGAATGTGGTTTTTATTTATAGTACTGTGAAGAGAATGGTGTTTCAGCACCAAGGAAAGGGATGGTACATAACACTAGTAAGTTCAATTGGGGAGGGGGGCGGTAACTCAGAGTTGTACGCACAAAAAGACCATATCCGTGGTAGTGATATCAAATAGCGCTGAGGTCTGAGGTCCCAAGTCAAGAATGTATCATGTGTTTAGAGGTGTGTAAAGGAGGTGCTGTTTTGGTCTGAAACTCATCAGGATTGTGCAACTCCATACATATGTTAACCAGGATTTTTGGCGGTGCAACTGAATGTCGAACGGAGATTTTGAACTGCATAGAATCTAGAACCCAGTTATGCAAGAAATAAGTTCCTACGTCAGATTGGGAGCTTCATAATAGTGACCACTGCGTACACAAAGTCCTGCCAAACATGTATATTAGTAGTGACAAGATAAATGAACTGAATGACAGCTCCACCCACTCTCAGCCCTATCCATACCCAAGAACACTACCAAACCATTCATGTATAATTATCTGTGCTATAAGACAAGTGACCTGCACTAACCCTTCCCCAGGCTTTACCTAAGTCACATTTGAAGACAAAGGCCGACTGTCATTACTGCATTATTGTTATCTTACAACCATCTATATTAATATTACTCTGTCTAAGATATTTCTGCCTCTCTCCCCATACGTTTCCATGTATCTCAAAACGCTACAAATGTTGTTGAAGAAACTTTGGGTCGGACTCGTTCACCTCCGTGTCTCGCCCTCAAGTGCGCGGGTCGTCAGGTAGGACAGAGATTTGTAGGCAGCTCATTATCTATGCAGGGAGAATTGTAGGCGTGGCTAGGCTTTGAGAATTCAAGATACACCCGCCTGGTCCGATGTAATGTTGATAAACATTGATATCTTAAAATGAATTCATGTATGTTTGAACATGACATTATGTATTGACAAATAGGCGTATGGGAACTTTTCAGACATTTTTGAGTATCTGAGGCATGATTTTGACAAAACCTTCTGTCCGTCTGAAGTTGCAAGTCATAATGCCGGATGTAATAAATCATTTCAGGAAACGTCAATTAATCCAGCGAAAGAAATCCTGTGTGCGACAGAACAAGTATCGACTCAGACTAGAACACTACACACATCATTTTTTGTAGCGAAATTACAACAAAAATCGAGGTTTGGATGAAAATTCATATCATTTTGGGTACTTTTAAGAACATAGAGCCTTAACACGGCCTACTCATCAGTAGTGCTCCTCAGGTGCTTAAAGTCGCCAGACGGGTGACAAGATAAATGACATGGTGGACAGCTCCACCCATTCTCGGTATATTTTTAACCAGCGACTCTAACTAACCGTTTATGTATAATTATCTGTGCTTTAAGACAAGTGACCTGTACTAACCCTCCCCAGGCTTGTACCTGAGTCACGAAGACAGACCAACTGTCATTACTGCATTCTTGTTATCTTTCAATCAATCTATAATATTACTCTGTCTAATATATTTCTGCTTGTCTCCCCCATACGTTTCAATTGTAACGTTATCTCAAAACGCTACCTGTTCTATTATATCATTATAATTTACTGGTAATTTCAAAGATTATGTTTTCATGTCTGTGTGCATGTGCGTCTGTCGGGAAAAGCGTGAAAATAGAGCCACCTCGAAGATTACAAGATTTACAGTAGCGATGTGGTGTTGTCTCCACCTACTCTCTCGAAGCAGAGGTTGATGGTGGAAGATCGTTTTTTATATATGGCCCCTTTTCTGGCGCTAGCGAACCAACTCCCCCGGTGTGTTTCTATCTGGACGATTGCTACTCTTTCCAACCGCCTCCCGAAGCCTGGTAGAGGCTACTTTTATTACACCGTACACGCAACCTGTCACTACTGCAGTTTTTGTATACATCGCTAGATGTCACTAAATGTATTACATGACCCTTGACCTGAGATTGTAAACACAAGACCCTTACCCGATTTTCTCTCTGTTTTGTTCGAGTTTCATGCGTTTTAATGTAAGAATTGGAACTCCAGAGCCAGACAATGGTAACATGGACATGACAACGGGGATTTTGATGAAGATAGCGACATGAGGCCGCAAGGTGTTAGGAGAAGGAGGGGAGACATGCCACGGTAAGTTTGACTGGGGAGGGGGGCGGTAACAGAGTTGTTACGCACCTAAACTAAAACTTGTAGCAAGGCAGGCCCAGGCCAAATATATAACGTTACTTCATATAATTTGTATTCAGAGGTCTGCCACCAGTATGAGATAAGAATGTGTTGTAGGTTTTAAACATGTGCTCTTTTGATCTGAAACTGGTCAGAACTTGTGCTTACTGAGATTATGTAACGTTGACCAGTTGTTGAGTATTTTTCGCCCAAAAAAGAGTTACTCAAGCAAATGAAAGTGTTGTCTGTCCTTGGGGCTGGGAGCACATTGTCTCAAGAGCCAGAGAGTTCTACCCGTAGCCCCCCTCCCTGTTGAGGGTGGAGTTGTACATTGACTTTGTTACCTCTCTAACTCCCCATTCCCATGTCAAGTTTGAATGAGTGTCCCAGACCCTGGTTGTCTACTAGTACAAATGTAGGTGGTAGAAAATGGCAGAGGAGTAGCTGGTCACCTGGTCTTTAGGATGTTTGTTTGTTTCGCATAACCGAGAAACTGCCTTTAGGCGTAACACATCAGTTTACAAACAAGCAATTGTACACGTATGCCCAAGACATTAGCGCACAACCACACGGAAACACAAAGTCAACACAAAACGTTGCCATATTTTCCCATTTTATTGAAGATCTCACAACAGGCAAGGAAAGTCAATGCTAGCTAAGACTTGAATATATGCGCAACTAATGCTACAGTAATGTTATGACATAAACTTAACACCTAATGAACCTAATGAACTCAGATAAGGCGACTATTTTGATTTAGTAGAGTTTACAGTTAAGGTCACAGCAAGTAATTTTTATAGCAATACTTTTCGCCTGATTTTGGAAAAAAGAAAAGACATTTTGTTGCCTTCTGGCAGTGGTCAACATGCCAAAAAGGGGCAAAGATGTCTGTTGCCATGCCGGAAGGTGGATGGCAGATAACTATGAAGAGATGAGACAAGAAAAGGCTCTGATTTAATACTTTGTTTCTTACTCTGATGCAGTGATATGTGGTGCTGGCTGTGTGATGTTCCTACTGAATCAAAACCATTTGTACAATGATTGAGTCAAAATTTTAAAATGTAGGAACCTTGTTTTTTTTTCGGCCTGCCTTGTTTTTTTTTTCGCCCGCTCGCATTAGATTTGGAGTCTGCAGAGGATGTCATTACTTCTGTGGCCATAGGGGGAGGGGCCTTAGATGCAGGTAAGTACATGTACTAGTACCCGGAAGTATTCCTCAGGTCTGAAATCAGTTGTCATCGTCATGAAATTTGACAGATGACAGTTCAGGCAGGGCCGGCCCAGGCCCCCAGTACACCGTCATCATCACACGGGCGTCCCGCGTCCCACCAACGCCTACCTGGAATGGGAGATATCCACGCGGAAAAATGAGGAAAAACAATATATGTCTTCACCACATAGTGGTGAAGCCAGAATAAGTAGGAAAACAGAAGCAGACTCGTGCGATTGGTCAAATTGATTCAGGCTGACTACATGTACATGTATCTGCCGAATTGGGCAATTGGGAAGCTTGCTAGAGAGTCTCCACAAATTCACTTTTAGAAGGCCGTACAAGCTCAATTTCTCAGTCATCATGATTGGAACAAACTTCAAGTGACTATATTGTATGTACACTTCCGATATTTGTATGTATCTTAGATTCTTACAGACTTTTTTTGGTGTAATTTGGTCTTTAAATATGAACAGAAAACCAACACTGAAAATGTAGCAGTAGATCAATGGGGTAGTGTGGCGTAGCGGTAGTGTGTTCGGCTTGGAACGAAGAGATCCCGGGTTCGAACCCCACCATGTCACCGATCTTGTGCCCTTGGGAAAGGCACTTTACACGACTTTCCTCACTTTGCTCAGGTGTAAAATGAGTACCTAGCTTCGGTTAGGGACATCCCTCGGATAGAACGTTAAATTGAGGTCCCATGTTTGGGGAGAGCCACACCCCACACGCACGTTAAAGAACCCACCACACCTTTCGAAAAGAGTAGGGGCATTCCCCAGTGTGCGATGGTCAAAATACATATCTGATTATTCACTACAGACTCCAGGAAGAGTAGTTTGAAATTCACACTAGATCCTAAACAAACAAACAAACAAACAAACAAACAAACAAACAAACAATTATTACAGAAAACAAATGCCTGGAAGACATTACCAGAATCTGGTAGATGGTCCCTGCGACAGATTGCATCTGGTAATAGATGGGAGCAAATTTCTCAAACGTTTTGCCGTCGTTGAGACGTTTCTCTGCCTCGCCTCGGAACTGCAAGGTTTTACCATAAGAAAAAGCGATGAACATGTGATTAAGACCTTAAAATGTACAAATGTATCTGATTCAATGTTTTGAGGTAAGGCCATACCAATTTAATTTGTTGTTTCTCGGATTTTTTCAGAAAAAATATGAAGCGACAGGGCGAAATTTAAAAAAAAAAGGCCAAGGCACCCCATGATAGCCGGAAATGTTACAATATGAGCCATGAAGTGAACATACCAGGCTGGTTTAACAATAGATTTTGAGCTTTTAATGAAACAAAATTGCATTGTTACTTTGAAAAATTTGAACAACTCGAAAGAAAACGACTTTTTTCAACCGTTGGGCCAAAATATGTCATTGAGAATTTTGCAGTTTATTTAGAACAAATTTTTTTTTTCCAAATCAGAAAAGAATGGACAGGGTGAATCCAAGAAGCAACAAATTAAATTGGTGTGGCCTAATCATAGTATCATGTATTATTTATTCCATTAAAGTCTAAAGGGGGTGAATCACCAACTCATTGATTCTCTATTAGTATTATGGTATGTGTATTCCTTGTGGAGAATAAAATAAAATAAAACAAAATAAAACAAACAAACAAATAATCAAACATACCAGAGTACAGCAGGCTCGGGCCCGGTCAGCATGATAGCTGTCAAAATACTCTGGGCTGCTGAGGCCTCCACACATCGCCGGTCTTCCTAAAATGTCGCCTTCCGAACTCATCTTGCAGTTGCTGAAGTTTGGATTTCACCTAGATGGAACATACATGTATGCAAATGACAATTCTGTATCAGTACAGCCGGTATGACCGCCCTTTGCCGTAACACACAGGCTTCACAGGCACGCGGCGCGGTGGCAACTGGCTGTATCGCAGCGAACGACTTGTTACACACAATCTTTGCATATTTAATTGCAGAAGTTGTGTGAAGTTAAGGTTTTCCCTTTGCTATAGCTTCATTCTAAAGTTATGCTTTCATTTTTTGGGCAAGATTTATGAAGGTTCTCCCCAAAAAACACACCTATGCTGGTTGAAAGACAGCATAGGAGGTCCAAATCACAGAATAGGGGGTCCAAATCAAAGCATAGGGGTCCAAATCACAGCCTAGGGGGTCCAAATCACAGCATGGGGGTCCAAATCACAGCATAGGGGTCCAAATCACAACATAGGGGTCCAAATCACAGCATAGGGGTCCAAATCAGGCCAAAACACTGCACGTTCTTGTACACAAAATTCTTTTCTTTTCTAGACCAACACAAGTTGCCAAGGACAAATGACAGATATAGATCATGTGACGCTTGTCAATGAAGAAAATGGAAAGAAACAGAACGGTGAGACTTACCGAATTTCGCTTCAAGAAATCAAAGAGGCGCGAATCGTTGACTTCCGTGCCTCGTTCTGAAATGTACAGGCCGCCAGCAGAGATATGTACTAGGCAGCTCATTATCTATCTATTAAAGGTCATGATATGTAGGTGTGGCCAGGCTGTGAAGAATTTTGTGACGATAACGCCACACCAATTTAATTTGTTGTTTCTCAGATTTTTTCAGAAAAAAAATGAAGCGACAGGGCAAAAAAAAAACAGGCCAAGGCACCCCATGAAGGCCCGAAATGGTACGATATGAGCCATGAAGTCAACATACCAGGCTGGTTTATAATTAATACAATAGATTTTGAACTATTAATGAAATGAATTTGCATTGTTACAAAAAACAACTAGGAAGAAAAGGACTTTCTTCAACCGTCGTGGGCAAAATATGAGCATTTTGCAGGTGATTTGGAACCTAAAATCTTTTTTTTTTTTTGCAAATCAGAAAAAAATGAACAGGGCGAATCCGAGAAACAACAAATTAAATTGGTGTTGCCTAACGTTATACATGTATATTGAACAAAATAGCGAAATGGAAAGATGGACAAACGTAGAGTATCTCACACATGATTATTTATTCTTAGCTTCTGTCCTTCTGACATTGCAAAAGTCTTACACATCGAGGATTAGATCATATCATTTTTTATATATTTTCAGAACAAATGAGCTTGACACAATGTGCGGAACTGTAGTGACCCACAACACTCAGGTAAGGCCACAGCAAGTAAATTTTATGGATGACATCCTCCGCAGACTCCAAATCTAATGCGATCAGGCAGAAAAAACCAAGGCAGGCCAAAAAAACAAGTTTCCTAATCCTACATTATATCATCACATTTTGACTCTATTATAATACAGTCAAATGGTTTTGATTCAGTGGAAACATCACATATACACAGCCAGCATCACATATCACTGCATCAAAGTAAGAAACAAAACATTAAATCAGAGCCTTTTCTTGTCTCCTCTCTTCATAGTTATCTGCCATCCACCTTCCGGCATGGCAACAGACATCTTTGCCCATTTTCGGCATGTTGACCACTGTCAGAGGGGAACAAAACTTCTTGTTTTATATTCCAAATTCAGGCGAAAATAAAATAATGCACGCGCTGATATCATCCATAAAAATTACTTGCATTGGCCTGACAGCTTCTCGAGATCCCATCTTCAGCTATTAATAGCCAACAACTATGACAAAAAAGTAATTATCTGACAGTGTGCATTGACCTCTGACAGCCCTTCCCTAGACTTGTATGTGACACTGTCATTACTGTATTCTTGTATCTTATACTATAGCTAACAAGCAATCAACAACATCACTTTGCCCCATACTTTATACGTTATGTATTATTGACAAAAACAGCATATTGGAAAGGTTGACAAACTTTATTTGACGCAGAGACTTAACTTGATTTACTGAATGGTGGTGACCCCCAGTGCACATCAGACCCTTGAGAACTGACAAGATAAAAGGCATGGTCTACAACTCCACCCATTCCTAGCCCTAGGCGAAATCAATGACAATAGGAACCGTTTGATGTTATAATTACCCGTTCTATTACTGTAATTCCTGATTTTTTCACTGTACTTTTATGTTCACTGTCACTTCTGTACTGTTAACTTATCATTACAGCCAGCAAATAATTCCTGGACTTTCTTTTTCCTGCACCTGTCGCCACCGTGAATATATAGTTCCGTGAACATGTCCACTTTTTTCAGAACTTTTCCTACCGTGAACATAAGATGAATTACAGTATTGTCTTATACACTTCATGGTACAGTGATTAATTGTCTAGTCAGGTTTTGTAACTTTTTTTAGTACTGTTTGTTTGTTTGTTTATTATTTGCACAGCAGCAATGAAAAAATTATACATAGTAAATTAATAATGAATAAAACAGGTGCAGGAGGAGGGAAAAAAGCTTATTTAGCTTATGCTAAGCCCTCCTCCTCTATACTAACCAAAAGTAAACATAATTGAATTGAAATAAGGCATACATACATAAGGAATTGTTATCAAAATAATTCAAACATGGGCAAAATGATAAAATAACAATAATGAAACAGTAGTATACATAAATTGAGATGAAATGAAATTGATATGAAATAATATATACATACATAAGGAATTGTTATCTTATTATTCTTAATAATTCCAACATAGGCAAAATAAACAATAACAATAATGAAACAATAGTGTACATAAAAAATAATAATAACTGAAGATATGAATCTAATACAAGGGGCTGGGGTGGTTTATAAGATGGGCTTTCAGGGTATTTTTAAAAGTTATAAAAGAGGAAAGTACATACAGTATATACTGTGCTTTTAGTATATACAGTGCCTCAGTTGTTGTGATCCTATATGTAGACTGTTGAATGAACTTGAGATAGAAACACTAAGAAAAACTTAGAAATTTACATGTAGGTTTGGTACAGTACTTTGATAGAGGTTAATGTCAAAAAATTGCTACTGATTCTGATTTTAGATTATTTTACAGTCACTCTAGTGGTACAACGAGAAGCAAGTCTGTCCCTGGTATACATTGTTTCAGGAGTGAATGTTGTCAGACACGTCGATGAAGGTTAGACATCCAGGTAATAAGATACGCCAAAAATCAGTTACACTACAACAAGCAACTGGATATGATTTTGGAAACGGTCAGACGTTTCAGCTAGTATCCACTAGCTTTCGTCAGTGACTGAAAGACCATAGGAGAAATGCAGGTTATATTAGCACAAACTATTGATTGATATACAAATAAGTGAAAACGATGTTGTCAGACTCTTAAAGTTTTCCTTCCAGCCCTGAGGGGACCCCAGAAAGTGCGAAATGGAACGAAATGGAACAAAATGAAACGAAATGGAACAAAATGAAACGAAATGTGTATGAAGGAAAGCCGTTCTTAGAATACCAACAATATTAACGTTGCCGTTTGGACGTTGAGTGGACACTGACGTCGCCGTTCCAACGTACAAACGGCTTAACGGTTCTCCTTCATACACATTTTGTTCCATTTCGTTCAATTTCGTCTCATTTCGTTCCATTTCGTTTCATTTCGCACTTTCTGTACACCGGCCCTGAGTGCGGTCCTCTTCCTGAATCTTTACTTTAGAATGTCTGACAAGCAAGGAAATGATTTGGTGTTGCCTTAATATTTGAGTAAGATGGTTACAACGTTATGCCGAGAGCTATGCAACACCACAAGCTGCCCCTCCCCACCTGTAGCCACACGGTAAGGGTATCGCACATAAGCGACGGTGCGGATGTGTTTTCCCTCAGCTGTGAACATCTCCAATTTGCTGTTCTGATGATCACCCACAATTACACGGCCAAATTTGTCCACAGCAATCCCTGTGGGATATAAAAGACCACCTGCTTTCGTGTCAAAACTGGAAAGGCGGACTCCATTTTTATCGTACTTTCGAACAGGACTCACACAGTTTCGCTTGTATGTGATGAAGATGTCTCCTTTCTCATCCACGGCGATAGACAAAAAATGTCTAAGACTTACAGTCAATGTGCTCAATTCTGGCACCTGTGTCATTGTGTACATAGGCCTAAACCACACAGCCTCCATGCACACTGCTATACATCTTAAATACACACGTTCTGTTGATAGTATGATTCTGTCAGAAAGCTTGTCCCAGGCAAGCCCAGTGATTCTAATAAGTTTACCCCTGAAAGTACACTTAGAAAGGACATGGCCCTCTTTGCTGTACAGATAGACGGAATGTCCAGTCAAGGCATTTCTCTCACGACCTGCGTACAAAGCTACCCACAGGGTATCGTTGCGGCCTATGGATATGGCATGTGGTGTCATTTTTTTTCCTGTGGAGAAACTGCGTAGAAAGACTCCCTCCATGCTGAAGACTTGGATTCTTTTGTTGCGCTCGTCAGTCACAAATATCTCGTTAGTCGAGGACACGGCAAGTCCTCCTGCAGTCTGAAACTTGCCTGGTCCGTATCCGGCCCCACCAAAGGTGATCCTGTCTTTCTTTTCTGTTTGTAAAACAACAGTAAACACTTAGTGAAGTGGGCACCAATTTTTAGACCAAGGTAACACATACATGTACAGTATATTACATAATGGTAGATCCTATTCCAAGCATGACCATTTTGACAGTTTAGCACTTCAAAATTAGAAAAAAATTGTAAGTTAAGTTAATGTAAGAGAAATATTGTAACAGTTAAAGTTTTCAGATGAAGATATACATGTACTATAAATCCTTGTAGAAACTAAGAAAGACTAGAAAGGTTGACATTTGCTCGGGAGCAAATGCAGCAAATGGCTTCACCACATCCCCCGTTCCCAAAAAATGGATCTATCCCCCCTCCCACACAAATGGATCACCCCTGTCCAAAATTTGAAGTGTTCCATTAGTCTATACCCCCTTGCAGCAATGGAATCTTCCATTGCCTTCTGTTGGAACATGTAGAAACACACCCTCCCGAGCAGGGTCAGTGGCGCGGCCCAAAACTGCCTCCGCATCTTAGAAAGTTAGATG